CAGCACCTTTGGTAGGAACTTTGTGCTAAATGTGTGTCAGCTATATACTTGGAGGCATATAATTTGGTTTATAGCGTAGCAAATCTATGAAAAACTGAACTTTTTGATTTATGTCACATAGCTTCATAAAGAAATTGAACAAAAGGACAATGAAATTGCCCGCCTGAAGAAGGAGAATAAGGAATTGGCAGAAGTAGCAGAACATGTACAGTATATGGCAGAGATAATAGAGGTAGGTATTTTAACATTCACCTGATTCAGAGGCATCTATTTTTCTATAAAGTTGAGGCAGTAGTGTGATCAGAAAGTGTTTGGGCTCTAGAAAGAGATTTCCCGGGTTTGAGTCCTAGCCCCCTACCTAGCACCATTAAGTTTGAGTCAAGCAGGTTATTTATCCTGTCAGGGCTCCATTTTCCTCATTTATAAAATGGGAGTAATAGTGCCTACCTTTATAGGCTTGCTATGAGAATAACAAGTAGAGAATAGGTAGAAAATTGAGAATTGCCTGTACATAGTGAGAGCTCAATAATTGTTAGATGCTATTATTATGAAGCAAAAGAACACCTATTTTCTTGTAACGATATAGAAAGGAATACTTATATCTGAAAAACATATGGAAAATTATATTTCACAGTTGTCATTTTCAGACAGGTTGTTTTTTTAAAAAATTTTTATTGGAGTATAGTTGATTTAGAGCGTTGCGTTAGTTTCAGGTGTACAGCAAAGTGAATCAGATATATATATATCTCCAGACAGTTTTTAATTTAACTATAATGCCAGTGAGATATTACTGTCATTTATAAAACTGGTAATTGGTGTACGAAATAACTTCGGTCGTCTTATCTGACTTTTTTTTTTTAAATTTGGAAGTAGCTAATGTGTTTATAAGAATTAGCCTGATGACTGTTACTTTACCAGTCTTAAAAAATAGGTCTTAAACTTATTCATGTCAGCAAAAAATTATCTTGCTGTTGGGGAGGACATTTTTCATATCAAAACTTCTCTTGTACTGAATTTCTGCCGTACATTTTAGTGCCATGACAGAACTCACGTCTGAAGTTTTCATTTGGAAGTACTGTAGTAGCTCTCTTAACTGCCATGGAAGTATTGGTCCAAGCAGATGGGAAATTAGGAAACCTGGTCCTTTACTGTAGATAGTTGGAGAAGTACTGATTTAAATTGTATTCTGAAAGCATGTGAGTACTTAAAAAAAAAAAAAAGAGCAAATTTTTAAACACTGTGACTTTGCAGAAATATGATCTAATACGGTTAGCACTTTGATCTAACAAACACTTGACTGCATGTAAGTGAATTTAATGTAGAGACATTATGAAATGAACCCTCATTATAACATTGAGGGTCAGTTATATCAGCATACTGATAATGGGCTTGGATTGTGAAGTTTTTACAATAAATTATTGGTTTATTCTTTACAAGAGACTGAATCAAGAACCTCTGGATAACTTTGAATCACCGGATAGTCAGGAATTTGATTCTGAAGAGGAAACTGGTGAGGATTCTGAAGTAGAAGACTCAGAAATTGGTACATGTGCTGAAGAAGTTGTCTCTTCCTCTACAGATGCAAAACCGTGTGTGTGAAATTCAGTAATAGTGACTCATGAGAAATATACTGCCAACGTTCACCTCCACTATAGTTCTTTGTAGCAGAGCAAATAACTTTATAATGAAAACTTGGACTCAGACTTCCTTGTTTGTATCCTGGGGCCCTATTATTGTATTAAAATACAAATACTATGTATTTTTAATCTACGGTGTTGTTTTGTGTAAATAGCATTTTCTCAGTTGTCAGACATGACTTGTGTATATGATAAATAAACTTCATTCTGTTGAGCTTTGTGTATATCTTGAAGAATGAAGTATAAGGAATCTGGGTAGAAAATTTGTCTATTTCTGTGCTTTTGTTTTGTTTCCTTTCTAATCTGCTAACTAGCTTGGAGGAAACAAGGGGAAAATGAATTCTCCCTTTTTATACTGAGATAGCTGAGGTTTTACCTCGTAAACCTGGTTGCACCTCAAGCTCACTGGAGGGAATGTTGATTTCTAGACCCCATGCCCAGGTAATCTAACCCAGTAGGAGTGTGAGCATCTGGAGTCAAAGGCTCCCCAAGTGAATCTGAGTAGCCAAGTAAAGGCTGGTATGATCATACTCTTCTTGGAAGCTTAAAATGTTGGGGTGGTGTTGGTAGTCCTCTAGAGAAGCAAAGTGGGGAGCAGGTGAAGAGATGCATGAATAGCTAAGGGTTCTGAAACTTTCTATCTGCACATTTCACATACTGGTATAGACAAAGTATGTATATTGAAGGAATATGAAGTAAGGGTAGGGTGAAATTAAGGATTTCTCATATGTACTGTTCTGAAGGAAGAAAAGGACAAAATAAAGGGAAATTGTTTGCAAAGTATACAGCATTGGGATTAAGATCTGTGGAAAGCATACAAGAAGCTTTGTATAAATTGGCAATAAAGAGCAATGTCAAGCTTTAAAGGATTACTTTAGGCAAGTTATTCTTATAGAACTTTAATTTTCTTATCTCTGATATTAAGTCCACCTCTGTTTTTGTGAGAATTAAAATCTTTACTAGAGTGCCTGATCTAAGTGCTTAAATAAATATTATTAATCTATAGCAATGCTGTCCAATAAAGTTTTCTGGGATGCTGGAACTGAATTGTCCAGTATAATAACCAGGTATCCATGTATGGCTTTTGAGCACAAAATGTGGCTAGTATGAATGAGGAACTAACATTTTAATTTTTTAAATTTTAATTTATATTTAAAGAGCCATGTGAGGTCAGTGGTTACTGTAATAGTACAGCTGTTTATGTTTTAGATTTGGGCCATTAGCCCAAAGAAAGAGGAGAGCTAAGTAGAATAGGATGACTTGGCAAATAAAAAGTATTTCTGGAAAATGTCAAAAATGGATAGCCAGGATTTGGTGGCAGGGAGCAAAAGAGGAAGGAATTGAAGAGGGTTTTAAAATTTAATGTCAGAGCCAAAATTATTAATCTTCTAGAAGAAAATATTGGAGAAAACTTTAGTGACCTTGGATTTGGTAAAGGTTTCTCAAAAAGCACACAAAAATCACGAATTATACCATAAATCAGACTGCATAAATAAAAATCAAAAACTTCTTTTTGAAAGACTTTTAAGAGAATGGAAAGACAAGCCACAGACTGGGAGAAAATACTTGCAAAATATACCCAACAAAGGATTTCTATCTATAAAGAACTTACTACTCATTAAGTAGACAACCTTATTTTTTAAATAGAGGAAATATTTGGACACTTGCAAAGCATATGTACAGATAGCAAATAAGTACGTGAAAAGATGGCAACACAGTCCTTAGGGAAGTGCAAATTAAACCTACAGTGAGATACTGTTATGTGCCCATCAGAATGGCTGCAGTTTGAAAAACAAAACTTGACCATACCGAGTGTTAAGGACGTGAAGCAACTGGGACTCTCCGGTAGTGCTGGTGGCAATGTTAAATGCCACAGATGCTATCGAACTGTTCGGTAATTTCTTAAAAGTTAAACATACACATTCTGTATGATCCGGCCGTTCTAGGTATTTACCTAAGAGAAATGAAAGCGTATGTCCACATGAAGATTAGCAAATAAAGCCCTTGTGCTCAAATTCTTATCGTGGATTTGCTTCTAAGAAAATCCAAATGTTGGAGAGAGATGAGCTTACAAGGGACAGCAAAGGAAAATAGTAACCATTTGTTAAAATTTTGGAGAGCGATTTTAAAATCATAGCTTAGCATAAAAATGCCTCAAGGCCCAAATCTGAACCTCTGTTTCTCATCAGAGGCCTGGCAATATTTGACTCTTCAAACTACGTTCATGAATTACTCTGAGGAAAAATTCAAATTCAATTTAAAAATCACTTGAAAAAAGGAATTTGTGGCCGTGACCCAGTTTCTAAAGGGGACTTACGATTTCCGACCCTTATTCTCCCACTATAAACTGAATTCTAGTTTCAGAAACTCTGCGTTAACACAATTCACAAAATCCACAAAGGATGAAAAGATAACAGTTGCTCAGTAGAACACGGCTTTTCCTGGTTTAAGTTTTGAGAAAGTTGCCCCCCAAGAGCCTCATGAATCCACGTGATGTGATTAACATCCCTAACAACATTCCTGTAATAGATACAAGCAAGGATCACGGACCTACACTACTTTTTTTTACAGGCCCCTCAGCGAAAGGTAGAAGCGTAACGCTAAAGTAAGCTTAGTCAAGGCAAGTCTGTGAAATAGGAAAAGTACGCAGTTCAATCTATGATGGCTCCGACTTAAGCTAGAGGCAAATGTTAATGTAGTTAGAGACACAAACAGGTACACATCCTGTAAGCACTTCTCCGTAAACATTTTTTGTAACAAAGCTTTTGATGAGGCTGGGCAGTACAAAAGTCAGGTGCAAGCTTTCTTTTACATATTCTCTTAACAGGCAAAATAGAGTAAAAATCCAAGAGCCTAGCTTTAGGCTGTCTTTAGGTGTCTGAACACATGGTACTCATCTCTATCCAGAGTTGTGCCAGTGGAGGTAAGCACTGCTCCTATTCAGTGTAAACTCCCCCAAACTGGTCAGCCTGATGTGCAGAAAGATCATGGTCTGGTAGCCAGAACGCAACCTCAGCCAAAGATGTGGCAACCGGAAGGCCGTCGCTGAAATAGGGCTGAAAGGATACATATGGGTGGGACGACAGTGTCCACTGTAGGGTGTGGCTGTGAGTTGGGTCTGGATTTTGCATTTCTGGGTGCCTTAGCTTAATGTCATCTAATAGCCCCCCAAACACACCATTGCTCCTAACAGTTATATAGGGAATGCATCTTCCAGTGAATTCTCATTTTATGAACTTAATTTTTATGAGGTTAGTTTAAACAGTTTAAACAGTGGCGCTTTTCATAAGTTTGGTTATTGCAGTAACTATGAAAATGTATATAGAATTTTTCAACTATAAAAGAAAACGCTGAAGAATAATGTGATCGGATATTGTTATTTATTTCAGTTTTCCAGGGTGATACAATGGTGCAGACAGCTGCATCAGGTAACTGGATTTAGAGAAATTAACTCCTGTGAAAACCAATGAGGAAATACAGCTCCTCTGCAAAATTCTCGGGCCATCCAGACCAATTCTCACTGGCCAACATTTGCAAGTGATATTTTAGAGAACTGTAGTCTCTGAGCTCCTGCGTACAAGACAGGTTATTGCATGTCATGACAGAGAGAACATAGCAAGTCCAAAATTTAAGCAGGAGGTTGCTGTTTATGTCACTTTTCGTGGTAGGCTCAAGTCTGTTATCAAAAAGATCAACGAGAATAGGAATAAACTGCAAATGTTTGGCTCTTCTCTGGTTGACAGGGTTTAAGTAACACCAAGATGCAACACTCTGGAGCAGCTGGATCTTTATTTTTGGTTCCATCTCGTAATTTTGCAACAAGTGAGCTACTTCTTTCATGTACTCAGCGGCAAAATTTCCAGCAGTTGGTCCTCCTGTAAAACAAGCATTTGCATTTCCAGAAGTATTTGGTGTATCTAGTAGCTAGTGACATTTGAGTGCTCCTGTGTTCATATTCTCGTCGCTATGGATGTGATACTTCGGATATTTTGAGTTCTCCCCCACCCCGTGTGCTGCTGTGAACATGAGAACGTGTGTGTTGATCAGCGTGGAGTTATATGAAGAGCACTGCCTGCCCAAAGCTCCTCCCTGTTTCCTTCAGTCAGGCGCCTATGAGTCAGTATTGCAAGATGAATAAAGCCTGGCTGTGTTCACCTAGCAAATCTCCCTCATGGTCTCATTCCCGAGTCTCTGTCTTCAGTACTTGAAAAAGTACCAGAGCATTAGAGCAAACAAAGGAAAAACCAAAAGGCCGAGCGGCAAAGCCAGGGTCTAAATGGTAAGGGAGAGGTTTTTCATGAGTTGTCCATCACTGTCCTGTTCTCCTTACACGTTTCTCAGCCCAAATCTTTTGCAGATCTGAGACCAACCTGGTGCTTGAGTCTACGTCCATCATATACCTGAACCCCAGATCATCCTAGTTTAAATCTCAAACTCCAAGCAGGTCCTAGATAAGAAGGCACTGATGAAGACAAGTTAGATGGTGAGGAGAAGCTGGCACAGTTGGCTGGATTCTAGCCACTGGAATTTTGACCTGGTTTGGATTCCTCTTATCTGCACTACCACAGTCCCATGGTCCCAAGGATATTCTGTGCAGTGTAAAGCTTTAGCCAAAGCCTGGGCATAAGCCCTTTCCATTGTTTCCCACCAGTACAACCAAGGCTAAGTAACATCAAGTTAAAGGATTCTGATCCCTTTATAATTAGCTAACTCTTACCCCAAATGGTGACCACAGCTCTACAGGGAACTGAGCATGCCTCAAGTGGAGGGTGCCATTTACACCGCCCTCACCTGGGTGTTCTCCTGACTTTGTCTTCTCTGTGGTCCTATGCCAGTGGCTCTCAATCATTCTGGTACCTAGGACCCCTTGGTCCTTGAAAACAGTAAATGTTTTCTCTCATGGACACCATTCTGTGAAAGTAGTCTATTAAACTACATTGAAGTAATTCATTTTCCCATTTAAAAAATAATCGATCTACCAAGGACACTAACAGCTACCAACAAGAGCTTCTAATAAGGCGATGTGTTGTTGAGGATTGTCTATAAAATTTTTTTACATGAAATTTATTAGAAAAAAAAGTGAAGCAAGTTTGGACTGGACAATCAGAGCAGTGTGTGTTTAAATGGTTTACCAATTAATTCTCTAGCCAAGTATACATTAATAGTTGCTTTTCACTAATGCACCTATTGGCTTTCCTAGTAGGTATTTTAAAAGCCTTAAGTTCTTCATGATTTTTCTGAACTACTGTCTGTGTAATGCATTTTTGCAAGATAAAAAATAAAATACCGAGTCGTTTTATCCTGTAAAAGGGTTGAAATTATATCAATTCAGTATAGATTCAATTTTTTCATGATACTGAAAAGTTTGATAGGCAATTTCAGTGTGTGTATGTATATATATATATATATACTTTTTAAATTAAAAACAGGAAAGTACCTTATTAGTAATTTATTTGATGGACACATTCTTTTGAAAACATGAGATCCTTGAGGAGAAAGTAATTAGTAATATCTTTGGCGGTGCAAAGACAAAAAACTAATAATTTAGGCAAAGGAAACGTTATTGGAATGTTAAGACGAGTGCTGTGAGAATCACTCACAGTGTTAGAACAGGCAGAAAGACTGTGGAACACCTCTGTCAGCACAGCTGGTTAAATCAGTACCTGTAAAGGCCAACAGTCCAATTCTATAGGCAGCTTGAGCTCTCTGTTCAAGGGCTAGAGATTTATCCTTCACCGTACGGCCAAGCACCGCAATTTTTTCTTTGTGAAAAATACTCTCAGCTGGAGGGATGTGTTCTTCCTCCTTTTTAGTGAAAAAGCCCTTAACGACACTCCAGCATTTCTTGAGGCGGCGATACAGCCCCACAAAATATCGATAAACCTGAATCCAAAATTGTGCATAGTAAGCCCGGGTCTTTGCCATTGTGTAAAAAGGCCAAGGGTGCTTAAGTCACACCACTGGCAGTAACAGAAGTGAACAGTCAAGAACTCTGGAATGCATTGCTTAGCAACACCATAGAATGGAATACACAAATCCGGGGGAAGCCATGTATGCCTAGATTCTTTCTTCAGCCTAGCATTGAAGGCCTTCTACAGTTTGAACTAAACCAAGCTTACTTTCACTTCTCTGGTGCACAGAATCTCAGCTTAAACTAAACTGGCTTCCCCTAACACACACTCAGCTCATTCCTGTCTTTGCGCCTTTGCTTAGGTGACGCCTACTGGGAACTTGCCCATTCTGCTTTGACTGTTCCAACCTGTACTGAACTTTCCATTGATCTTTCGTAGTATTATGCCTATTTTGCTTATTTGTTACATAGAGTTTTTCTCTACATCATAGATTTCCTAGATTGATCTTATTTTGCTGAGAAAATAGAAGCAATCAAAAAAGAACTTCCATAGCTCTCCCCATCACATCTACCCACCGATCTGCGTCTGTGCCCATATCCTCTGGCTTTCCTCCTGTTATACCGATGCCCCCTCCATTTATGCAGATTTCAGCCAATCCTTCTCACTCCATTCAGGGAGACTGCTCACTATTCTTCTCTTGCCTTATTAATTTTTCAATCTCAACTGGGTTCTTTGCATCAACAAACATGCTGTACTTTTTCTCATTAAAAAAACAAAACAACTCTCTTGACTTCATACAGCCCCTCCTCCTGGTTATTGCACAGTCACACAATGTGCAATATTCTGCTCCCCTTTATACAAAAACTCTTCAAAGAGTTGCCATACGAAACATTCTTTTTTTTTAATATTTATTTATTTTTGGCTGGATCGGGTCTTAGTTGTGGCATGCAGGATCTTTCAGTGCTAGTGTGGGCTCTTCGTTGCAACACGTGGGCTCCTCTCTAGTTGCGGCGTGAGGGCTCTCTAATTGTGGCGTGCAGGCTCCAGAGAGTGCAGGCTTAGTAGGTGCAGCGCACGGGCTTAGTAGCCCCATGGCATGTGGGATCCTAGTTCCCCGACCAGGGATCGAACCCGCATCCCCTGCATTGGAAGGTGCAACCACTGGGCCACCAGGGAAGTCCCTGAAATATTCTTTTATCCTCTCTTGGATGTACTCCAAGTTGGATTTTAACCCCACCATGACTCTATTGAAATTGCTCGTCAGGGTCACTGATGACCTTCATTCTGCTGAATCCAATTCTCAGTCCTCAGCATTTGTCACTCGTTTCTCCTTGAAACACTTTTTTCACTTGGCTTCTAAGATGTCATAGTCTTTTAATTCCCTACTGGTCACTCTTCTTTTCCTTTGCTGCTTCCCCCTCTTCTTTATGTCCTCTAAATATTGGAGTGCCCCAAGGCTCAGTTCCTGTATCTCTTGTTTTCTATCTATATTTCCTGGAGGAAACAAACCAGTCTCATGGCTTTAAATACCATTCACATGCTGAAGACTCCCAATTTTATATTTTTAACTGGATTTCTCACCTGAACTCCAAACACAATTACCTTCAATCACCCACTTGGTATCTCCATTTGGATGTCTAAGAGGCTTCCCCAACTTAACATGCCTGAAGCAAAATTCCTGGTCTTATTATTTTATAGTTTAATTTAAATTTTTAATTTAATTAATTTATTTAGTTCTGGCTGCGTTGGGTCTTCATTGCTGTGCGCGGGCTTTCCCTAGTTGAGGTGAGCGGGGGCTACTCTTCATTGCGGCGCATGGGTTTCTCACTGCAGTGTCTTGTCTTTGTTGCGGAGCACAGGCTAGAGCATACGGGCCTCAGCAGCTATGGCATGTAGGCTCAGCAGTTGTGGCCCGCGGGCTCTACAGTGCAGGTTCAGCAGCTGTGGCATACAGACCCAGCTGCTCCGTGGCATGCAGGATCCTCCTGGACCAGGCCTGAACCCACGTCCCCTGCACTGGCAGGAGGATTCCCAACCACTGCACCACCAGGGAAGCCCCCTGGTCTTCTTTAAATCTCCTGCTTCTCAGTTTCCCTATCTTGGAAGACGGCATTCCTTCCTTCCAGTTGCTCAGATTGAAATTTTTGGATTCATTGTTGGCTTCTGTCTGTTTCACATCTCATTTCCAATTTATCAACAAATCCTTTTGGCTCTACTTTCAAAGTAGGTATTTGGACACCCTGTCCAAATTTGGGACATTCTACAAAATGTACTTGCTTGTACACTTCAAATATAGTAAGGTGTGGAAGTTTAAAACAAAGAGGGGCCCATTACTGTTCTAGAGTAAAAGAACCTGAAGAGGAGAGTTACCATATGACCCAGCAACCCCACTCCTGGGCATATATCTGGAGAAAACTCTAATTTGAAAATATACATGCACCCCAATATTTATAGCAGCACTATTTATAATAGCCAAGACATGAAGGCAACCTAAATGTCCATCTACAGATGAATGGATAAAGAAGATGTGGTGCATATATACAATGGAATATTACTCAGACATAAAAAAGAATGAAATAATGCCATTTGCAGCAACATGGATGGACAAAGACATTATCATACTAAGTAAAGTAAGCCAGACAGAGGAAGAAAAACATCATATGATAGCACTTATATGTGGAATCTACTTTTTTTACTTCTTTATTGGAGTATAATTGCTTTACAATGGTGTGTTAGTTTCTGCTTTATAACAAGGTGAATCAGTTATACATATACATATGTCCCCATATCTCTTCCCTCTTGGGTCTCCCTTCCTCCCACCCTCCCTATCCCACCCCTCTAGGTGGTCACAAAGCACCGAGCTGATCTCCCTGTGCTATGCGGCTGCTTCCCACTAGCTATCTATTTTACGTTTGGTAGTGTATATATGTCCATGCCACTCTCTCGCTTTGTCACAGCTTACCCTTCCCTAAAATATGATACAAATGAACTTATTTACAAAACAGAAGCAGGCTCACAGACATGGAAAACAAACTTATGGTTATCAAAAGGGAAAGTGGGGGGAGGGATAAATTAGGAGTTTGGGATTAGCAGATAAAAACTATTATAAATCAGATAGATAAACAACACGGTTCTACTATACAGCACAGGGAACTATACTCAATATCTTGTAATAAACCATAATGGAAAGGAATTTTTAAAAGAATATATATATATGAATCACTTTGCTGCGATTCAGAAACTAACACATTGTAAATCAATAAAAAAATTTAATAAAGAACCTGAAGAGGCATGACAACTAAATTAAACATGTAACGCATGGCTGGAACCTGGATCTATGTGTGTACATGCACGTGTGTGAGCATGTGTATGTGTGTGTATGCTATAAAGAATATTACTGGGACAACTGGGGAAACATAGACCTGCATTATCCAATGTGGTACCCACTAGCTACATGTAGCTATGGAGTACCTGAAATGTGACTAGTCTGAATTGAGATGTGCTGTAAGTGTAAAATATATACTGTATTTCACAGACTTCGTATGAGAAAAAGAATGTAAAATATCTTATTAATAATTTTTATATTGATTACAAGTTGAAAGATTTTGGATATATTAGGTTAAATAGAACATATTATTAGAATTAGCTTTCCCTGTTCTTGTTACTTCTTTTCTAGTGGCTACTAGAAAATCTAAAACATCAAGCATGGTCCCTTTCTAAGGTCTTTGTGGTTATTGTTGCTTCTGCCTGGAATGTTCTTCCCAGGGATATCCACATATCCACATGACTGACTCATCCCATCAGTTCCTCAGGCCATCCTCAAATGTAGTTTTCTTTCTTTTTTTTTTTTTTTTTCCGGTACCCGGGCCTCTCACTGTTGTGGCCTCTCCCGTTGTGGAGCACAGGCTCCGGACGCGCAGGCTCAGCGGCCATGGCTCACGGGCCCAGCCACACTGCGGCATGTGGGATCTTCCCGGACCGGGGCACGAACCCGTGTCCCCTGCATCGGCAGGCGGACTCTCAACCACTGCGCCACCAGGGGAGCCCTCAAATGTAGTTTTCTATTCGGCCTTCCCTGAACACTCTCTTTGAAACTTGTGATCTTTGCCCTATCACATCTCCTACACCAACACTGGGCAATTACATTACTTTTCTCTTTTTTTTTTGGCCGTGCTGCACAGCTTGTGGGATCTTAGTTCCCAGGCCCCCAGCAGTGGAAGTGCGGAGTCCTAACCACTGGACCACCAGGGAATTCCTTCCTTTTCTCTGTCTTATTGTCTCCTCTTTCCAGGATAGGAGCCCTGCAAAGGTAGGGATTTTTATGTCCTCTCATTTTTTTTTTGTTTCCTCACCGCTATAGCTCCATTGCCAAGAACAGTCCCTGGCATATGCATACCTCATTTATAGTTAAGTATGCAACAAATACTTGTTGAATAAATGAGAAGTTAGAGAACTAGTTTTTAGCAAACAACTGTTGTTCCCTGCAAAAAGTGTACTTAGAACTTTCTCAAAATCCATCATATTTGTTTTATAAGAGATAATGTCCCCAGGAAAATTTCAGGGATAAAAATATTTATTTTTCTATTTGACTAATTTGTTTTCCTGATATAGTGAGAAGTGCTGGTGTTTTCTGCTGACTTTGGTTTACAATTTTACTTTACAATTTTATAAAGTAAGTAAGGTAATTCAGCTAAGCAGTACTGCAACAAACCATAAAGGGGAAATGGTTTTTACTGCTGACTCAGTAACTAAGCAATCACTGGTATTTAATGAATCACTTGGTAAATACTCTCAGAGCTGAATGTCAGGGGCTTCTCTGTGATGATGCTGGTGGGGGTTTGGGTTGGGAACATATACAAATAAAGACTCATTTAGCCTCAGGGGGCTTACAGTCTCTGCTCATATATACCACAACTCTGAAACGCAGCTCTGGGACATGGGGTTTGCAGAGCTGCAGTCACGGTGGCATTGCAAGGCATCATCACAAAGTAGAACAGGAAAGCTTAGTTTGGAAACGGCGCAGGCTCTATGTATGGCCACCTGCAGTAACTACTGCAAGGAAAGCCACCCGTGATGGAAGCAGTACCTTGGCATTAGCAAGGCATGCACAGGTCTATCGAGATTTCTACAAGGTACCTCTCCTAAAGAAACTGTTTATGCAGGCTGGCGTTGGGAAGACAAAGTTAAGACCTTTGGGTGATAAAACACATGCACTGAGAGAGGCCAAAACGTGGGAGCAGAAAGACCCTGAGCTCACCTCCTCTCACAACCACACCAAAATCACAACTGTCTGCAGAACAACCATCAGTGCAAAAGGCTGGAACCTACCAGAAAAGATCTGCAACTAAAGACCTAAAGAAGGAACCACAACTAAATGGGTAGGAGGGGAGGGCTGTGATATAATCAAATTCCATACCCCCTCCCCCTACAGACGGCTGACCCACAAGCTGGAGAATAAATACATTGTAGACGTTCTCCCACAGGAGTGCGAGCTTTGAGCCTCATGTCAGGCTCCCCAGCCCGGGGTTCCAGCACTGGGAAGACGAGGCCCCAGAGCCATTGGGGCTTTATTGCAGGAGCCCCACAGGACAGGGGAAATAGAGGCTTCACTCTTAAAGGGCGCCCACAAAATCTCACGCGCACTGGGACCAGGGCAAAAGCAGTTAATTGGTAGGAGCCTGGGCCACACCTACCTGCTGGTCTTGGAGAGTCTCCTGGAGAGGCGGGGTGGGGCAGCTGCAGCTCACCCTGGGGACACAGACGCTGACGGCAGAAAACAGTCAGCGGCACGAACACTCCCGCCGGCCGACATCTTGGATCATTAAGACCTGGCGGAGGGGGTGGGGGAGGCGGGGATACAGCCCCGCCCATCAGCAGACAGGCTGCCTGAAGACTAGAGCCCACAGCTGCCTCTGGACACACCTCTAGACACGGCCCTGCCCACCTGAGGGCCAAGACCCAGCTCCACCCACCAGTGGCCGGCCACTGGCCCCTCCCTCCAGGAAGCCGGCCTTACGTCTCCAGAGCAGCTTCACCCACCAGGGGGCAGACACCAGAAGCGAGGAAACCACCATCCCACAGGCCAGACCCTACCCAGGGACCAGCTGGGCCCTGATCCTGCCCACTAGCAGGCCAACGCAGCCTCCTGGACACCCTGGACCCCACACCCAACTGTGTCAGGAACCGCCATCCCCAGCTCCCCAACGATCTGAAAGCAGCTCTGGGATCCCTGGGCCCTGCAGCCGGACTCCAGGACCTGGCTCTGCCTGCCAGCAGTCCATCACTAACACTAGCACCCGGCTTCACCTGCCCGTGGGTGGGCAACAGCCCCAGACTCTTCGGGACCCTGACTCCACCCACCAGTGAGCCAGCACTGGCCTCAGGGCCCCCAAGGATTCCACCACCAGCTACCTCGTGACCAGGCCCCACTAAACAGCAGCCAGCAGCATCTGTACAAGGCAGGGCCTGGCAACCCACCCGACTAGGGGCCAACCAAGCCTACCAGACGGCCCACATAGTCAGCCTGCCACAAAAGGAGGACCCACGCAGCCCTCTTAGGGGGAAGCCCCAGAGCATACAGCTTGGGTGACAAGAGAGGAGGGCACTGCTGGGACGCATAGGAGCCTCCTACAGAAGGCCACTTCTCTAAGGCCGAGAAACGTAACTAACCTACCACAGACATAAAAATACCAATAGCAACTTAGACAAAATGAGGTGGCACAGGAATACGTTCCAGACGAAGGGATGTGATGAAATGCAGCTCTTTTTTCTCCAGTTAGCATTACAACAAATCTGAGAAGGAAATATCATCCTCATGTATGGATAAAGGAATTTCAAGAATAAACTCAAGTTGAGAATGAGATGTAGTGTGTTGTGTAAATACCAACTCAAGAGGGGCATGTGAAAAAAATACACCAGACTCCGAACCTGAGATTAGTAATTCAAAAATAATTTTTATTTTAACTTACATGATTGAAAGAGTGACGAATACAAATGCCACAAAACTAAAAGCACCCCCTTCAACCAAAAATAAAATGCAGAAGTGAATACAAAAGATATGGAAGTACTCATGCAATATTCAAAAAATAAAAAAAAAAAACCCAAACAACAAAGCAAACAACTCTGTAACATTTGTGATTTGACTTTCTATAAAAATCATTTCAACCATTTAACAGAGACTGTAGACTATACATACTAACTATAGACTGTACAATGTACCTTTAAAATGAAAGATATATGCATATATATAATATTTATAAATTTACAAATATATATATACATTATAACTTCACAGTTGAAAGAACTTATTTGCCAGGAAGCCTGACAAACAATTTTCACTTTAAAATGAAATAAGAGTTGTTTTTAAAGGTCTTGCTAAAATGTAAATATTTAAAATGACACCTAAGTGATATTTTATATAAGCACATTCAGAGAACAGTTGATATTCCACAGTTCAAATTACACTCACACACATTATTTAGATATCTTGGCATATCCCACCTTGTATACTCTTAAGAGGAAGAAAAGTTATTTAATAAGAGCTACTGAATGGACTTGTACTTTATTTAAAGGACTTGCTATCCTGATGTGGAAGCAATATGGGAGCTGTTGGTTTAACTATTTGGCCAAAGGATCCTATCCAGTGATGAATGATTTCTCTGGGGGCAGTAACCATCATTCAGGGCATTCTTCTTCCTAACCTTATGGTAATTTGTATAGAAGAAAAGACCACTGTTAATGACCCTCTGCTTCCACCCCATTAGGATTCCTCCAACTTCTATGTTCTTCTACTTCAAGGAGCATCATAAATTTCTGAATTAATCACAGCTGTCTGAAAACTTCTGGGTTTGACTTGTCTTAGCAGCAAAATACCTCTATTGTAAAAGTATCATTATAAAATGGCTCTTGTTTAAAAAAAAAAAAAGCTTAAGTTTTGAGTATCTTCTTTAAAATGAGTATGGGTATAATCTTAATAAGGTAGTTTTTAGTGATCTACCCATCTTTTATACCATAATGGAAACATGCCTTTGGAATTTTCACGATAGACGAAAGAAACAAGAGAAATAGTGGAGGCTTGAAAAAATGAAATTAAAAAGAAATAAACTCTTACAATATGATCTTTTAGCAGGTTCTGCAGGCAAACTTTTACTTGAAGAAATCTTTTTTTTTTTGCTTTGCACTTAAGGTAAAATTAGGTAACTAAGGGGGCCACTCAACCCTGAGAACACAACAGAGGAAAAACTGCAAGGTATATGATATTTATCAAAGTATCATGTGACTATTTCAAGCTTATAGAAGAACTTCCAAAAACGTATAAAGACGGCTGTTTTAAAATCCCATACATACTAGATAAGACAGACTCTTTTACTAAGTATTGTCAGATGCAATCAACCATGTAATCTACTGAAAGATACATAGCCCTATTCCGTTGGCTGAAGGAAAAGCAGGTAAGTACTGTGAAAGAGGACTTTGAATTCCTCCCATAACATGTTAAATTTCCAGACAACCTCAACAACTTCGAGCTAAGTCACAGCACCACCTTGATTAACAGGGCCATTTATTAAGACAGCTGTTAGGCAGAGTTAACTTGTAATTAAAAGGCCGTGGCAACTTCACTTGCATGACGACCTCCAACTTTAACACAGTCTCGAGGAAATTTGTCCAACTGTTCATATGCCAGCCGCCCATCTTCTCCTGCATATAGAGCATCAAAAATGAATACCAGTTTGAACTTAACTTTTTTATTCATCACTCAGAATAATAATACCAGTTGTTTAGGTAGGGGTTGCTATATTTTGCTAAGGTTGACTTTAGGTGAGGAAAAGCCATCTTTGGCTATTCTTAATTATGTTGTTTTCTAGGTAATGTTTAGAACAACCAAGAACTTTTGAGCTAATGCCAGAGACTAAAAGAATGTGAAACACAGTAGACGTCCTATGGGCATTTGATGTCAATAATTTCACATAATAGATTTATTCCTGAGAAATTATATGGATTATATTTTAAGTGCATTAGTGATTTCAGTATGGCTAGTCCTTGATTTCAGTGCATTGAACTTTTACATAACTTTCACTTTTATACATTAGATATTGGTACATCCAAATGATCTGTCATAAAATCAAGTTTAGGCTTTCAAACATCTGCTAAAAAAATTATTCTTTGCCCTGTACACAGGTAGTGATGCTGTCTACCAGCCAACAACTAGGCCAGTTCTATCAGTAGTACCATCTTGAACAGCCAACATGTATTTGCAAATTATTTGAATATTTTACTCCATTTCTCCTGTTTAAGAAAAAATGATTAGAAAATGGGAAAATGAAGTACAGATAACTAGTGATAAGAAACAGGCTTTCACACATTTAATACAAATGAGACAAAGATGCAAATAATTAATTGTGCTCAATCAGAAGTTCACTGTGAAGAAAAACGGAAGAAAAGATTCCTTGAAATGCTGGAAATATATTGATATTAGTGGGTTTTAGAAAAGGAGTGTAATCATGGATTTTATAATATATTGCCTCTATATTTGTATAATTTATTGGATATAAAGGCCTTTCAATGAACCAAAAGTCTGTTTTTGGTTGTTTTCTTTTTCAGTACATTTAACTTTTTCAGTAATACATTAGATACAAAAGTAGAGATTTGCGTGTATTTAAAAGAACTTTGTAGTGAACTCGTCTATAAGCAAAAGCCATCAATTTTTAGATTCTTTTGTTGATTGTTTCTGCATGCCTTGACTTTTCTGAGGCAAACGTTATTTTTTCCCTGATTCAATAGTTTCCAACTTTTTCTTACTTTGGAGTAGAACCCTTTATTTGAAACAAAATATTTATGCAAAACCCTGAATATAAAACATGAACAGCAATGCCTTTCCGGCTGATGACAGTGGGAGGAGGGACAGAGGGCCCTTAAATTAAGCACATTTATACCATACTCCCTGCCCGCTCACACACACCCCTGTGGATGCCTAGGCTAATGAATGCTACTTAAAAACCCAATAATACCAGGCTAGTTCCTAGTTTGCTCACAGGGAGATTCCAATTTAGAGGTCTTCCGTTCTTCCTCCAGTAACCTACAGCATCCAGGTGCCCTAGAGGGTCAGGGTTCCATTGCAGTGCTTGACCGGGTCTGGGTGTCGTGGGTGAGTTATGCAACCCTAGCATGCCTCACTGTGCCCCTCTGTAAATTGGGATTAACTGTCCCTCATAGAGTCTCAGGAGGATTAAATGAGCTAATCCATGTAGATCCCTCAAAACAGTGCCTGGCACGTGTTACCCAATATTCTTTACAGTGACACAACCCGGGCCGGGGTTTCAGGGCATCTCGCTGTTACTAAGATTCAGTTTTCAGGGGCTTGGATCTGTGTTGGCTCCTCTGCTAGTCCGTTTAACAGCCCTGTAAAGTAGGCAGGGTGTTGGAGGAGAAAGAGCTCGAGCTTTGGGGTGTCAGGCAGTGTGGTTCCAAACAAGACTGAGGTCCAGCCGGGACGTGCTGGAACGGCCAGAGGCGCGGTGAAAACTGCTCTGTCCAATAGAGAGGCCACCAGCCTCAGGTGGCTGCTTACATTTAAGTGGTAACTACTCAAAATTAAACTAATTCCTCAGTCATAACAGCCATGTTGAACTGCTCAGCTGCCACATGTGAATACTTCCTGCCGTCTGGGACAGTGCATATAGAGCAGCCCCGTCATCATGGAGGGATCTACTGGACAGCTCTGGGTTCAAATATCAAAATAATTCCATACTGGTTGGTAAACAGTGGCTGCTCGGAGCCCCTCGAATGCCCTGTGACAACCCTCAGGCCTAGAGTATCTTTTACCAATTCCCATCAAAAATACTATTTTCACTACATTAATTCAGTCGTCTGTGTGAGATAAAAATACACCAGTATTTGTGCCTTAGGGTCAAAGGAAATTCATAACATTGAGTTCAGAGGTTCTCAACCTGGGAGGCTTTTAATAATCCCAGCGCTAAGGCCCAGCTCAGACCGACAAGAGCAGAGTCATCAGAAGTGGAGCCCAGGTACGGGGGTATTTTAAAGGTTCCCTGGTGATTCCAATAGGCATCTAGTGTTGAGAATCATGAACCGGTGGTGTGGTGGGCTATGGGGGCTTTGGGGAGCCACATCTGTAACGAGTTAAGGTGAAGCAGGTGTGATGACCAACCCTGGAGATACGGCTGTCTGTGCAGCTGAACTGGATCTGGATCATCTACAGGGATGAGCCTCCTCAGGTTACAGTGGGAAGAGCAGCGTTGCTGGCTATTCCTTCATTGTTATTTCAGAACACTAAAGGATAAAAGAAGTTCAAACTAATAATACCCTGGGCACATTTTTAGGGAATTAAATAATTTCCATGCCTAAAGCAAGCCGTGAGGAATAACTGTTTTATCCTTTAAACACACATATATTGGCTAAGATTTCTATGCATTGCATGTTATATCAATAGCAGAATGAAGCCTTATTAAACCCTAAGAAAGAGCACCAGACAGTGAGTGTGATTGCCACGGTGACTATAAGTGCCATGAGAGTCTTCCTTACATCCTTAAGCTGCTACTAGAGTCACACTAGGGCAGCGGCTTTTTCCCGGCTAGTATTACTGAGCGGATTATATTCGAGGACTTTGAGGGGTATAGTATTTATACTTTGAGTGAAGTGAAGGAGAAGGGTTATTTGGATATTCCAGAAAAAAATAAATACTTCATCTCTTTTCTTTGGTGTCGGGGCTCAGGCGCAATAGGCCCGCAGGGCAATCAGAGGTTAACCTGAGAGTCTGGGGGAGGCTGTGGTACGTGGGGGATTATGGCATCCTGGGGAACACATCACTGTCCTCCAGGTAGTGCCAACCCCAACCTGGCAATCCAGCCTGGCTTCCTGACTCTGACCTCTGCTTGATAGTTTGATTTCTATGTTCTTGATTCCAAATAGTGCCCAGACTATGAAACCAGCTAGAAAGGCTCCAGAGAGCAACCTTCTCCCTCAACATCCAGGTAGTTAGAACGAGGAACTGGGGTGAGATGGAAATTGATCAGTCACACTGTGTGTGTGTGTGTGTGTGTGTGTGTGTGTGTGTGTGCGTGTGTAAGTGTGAGCCGATAGCCTATAGGGGAAAAATTGCTAAAACAAGGTACATGAAACTTTTCCTTACCATTCCCTTTGAGGGTGTCAGAAATAAACAATCATGTAAAAAAAAAACAAAAAAAAATCCCAACTCACCAAGAGATAAGAGAGTTTCTGAGGCCACATTTCTGATTTCTTCAGTATCAGACTGACACAATGTCACCAGCATTTTAATGCTTTCAGTAGCCTACAAGGAGAAAGTAGTTAAAATAGTGTTCTGACATTTATGTGTGGGATTACATGAGACTTAGCATTTCGTAGCTGGTAGCTGACTTTAAAAACCCAGGGCTTCCCAAACCTAGTTGAGTATCAAGATGACTTAAGGCGCTCTTGTAAAAGTACAGATTCCTGGGTGCCACTCCAGACACACTGTATTAGAACTTTCTGGGTCGGAGCCCAGGATTTGTACTTGTGGGAGCTCTGATGATCAGCTAAGTTCCTATTTCACAGGGGACTCCAGACCTAGAGAAGTGAAGTGACCAGCCTGCTTTTCCAAAATAGAATCCAATTCTCTTAGTTCTTTCTACTGTATCTCATTCCCTCCAAAACAGCTCTAATGTAAGAATTCCTAATTTTAGTCTATATACTAAAATAGAGGAGGGGAATAAAGATCAAGGATGGGAATTCTTCTATTTGTTTATTCCACAAACATTTACTGAGCACTCTGTGAACCAGGCAGTTCACAGGGTCTGGGAGACTCAAGCCAGGAACATGACATGGTCCTGGCCCTCAGGACTTTACAGTCTGGTGGAAAGACAGACCGTGAAACAAGTAAACTAATTATTATGATGAATGATAGGCTGAGTCAGGGTGGTAGGGCAGAACACGACTGGGAAATGCAGCCTGGTCTGATCAGGGAAGTCTTCCTGGAGGAAGTGATATCTTAGAGGAGTTAGTCAAGTTTGGGCACATGGTAGGGGTGTGTGTGTGTGTGTGTGTGTGTGTGTGTGTGTGTGTGTATGTGTGTGTGTGTGTGTGTGTAGTGTTTGGGGGTGTGGAGAAGGAAATACATTCTAGGTAAGGGGAATAGCTTGTTACAGGGTCCAAATCAATGGGAGGCTTATAAGCCACATTAAAGATTTTGGACATCATTCTAAGATCATGGAAAGCCATGTAAGAGTTTTAAGAAGGAGTTGTCTTTTATTCTGAGCTTTCTAACTGCAGTGGAGAGGACGGACTGCAGGGAGGCAGAGACGAGTGGGAAGGTAGCTCGAATCCAGGTGAATAGAGTGAGGATAAAGAGTGGGGGGAAGGGCGGGGTCACTGATGGCTCCTAGGTTTCTGGCCTGAGCTACTGAGAGACGGTTGTACAATCCACTAAGACACCAGAGACTAGAGGTGGGGGTGAGATGGGTGGAGTTTGAGGTGACTTCCTAGGGGAGATACCTAAGAGCAAGCTGATCAGAGATGGGAAGGGAAGACCTAGACTGGAAATACGAGGAATTATTAGCATAGAGATGATGATGGAAAACGTAGGAGTTGATGTTTCCCCAGGGACGACTCATAAAGGGAGAAGAGGGCCCAGCAGGTGTCTCTACAAACACCAGTATTGAAGGCAGGTAGCCGAAAGAGAGCCTGCTATGAAATAAAATGCTCTTCCTGTCATTTTGAGGAGTCGATATTGGGTAACAAATTACAGTTTTCTTTTCTGGAAGAAAGGTAGGCTTATGAAATGGTAGCTGCATGGGTAGACTATGGGTTATTTTAGCCCAGTAAGACAGATGGGGAACCTAAAATTGGAGGGCCACTGGATTTGAGGACCTTGACCTCTCAAGCTTGTTTTTATTTCGATAATAGGAAAGAAAAATGTCAGTTGTTTGCCATCATTAATTAAAAAAAATTTTTTTCCCTGACAAGTTAACAAGAGTTGATTGGTTGAGTCTGCACTGTTTTTCACATCATGCTGCATGGAGCCCCTTTCAGGAGCTGGGGGGCTGCAGATGGTTTAGAAAGAGGTCTTTTAGTCAGCACAAAGGATCCTATCCTCTAGGAGAAAAAGGTAAAGGAGAGGAATTGGTGCTCCCAGACTCTGGATAAGCTAGACTTTAAAAATTATTTATTTATTTATTTATTTATTTATTTATTTATTTATTTATTTATTTAT